TGCAGAACCCAAACCCTAAACCCTAAACCCTCAACCCTCAACCCTAAACCCTAAACCCTAAAACCTAAACCCTAAACCTTAACACCTAAACCCTAAACCCTGAACCCTCAACCCTAAACCCTACACCCTAAACGCCCTAAGCCCTACACCTTCAAACCTAAACCCTCAACCCTCAATCCTGAACCCTCAACCCTCAACCCTAAACCCTCAACCCTAAACCCCAAACCCTAAACCTTGAAACCTAAACCCTCAACCCTCAACCCTCAACCCTAAAGCCTAAACCCTAAACCCTAAACCCTAAACCTTAAAGCCTAAACCCTAAAGCCTAAACCCTGAACACTGAACCCTCAACCCTAAACCCTTTATGGAGCTCAAAGACCAAATCCACAGCGCCTCCGGCGAGTCCGATGCCGGTTTTCGGAAGAATTCGCCACCCTGTTCGGGCTGGACTCTGTGGTTTGGGTTTAGGGTTTAGGGTTTAGGGTTTAGGGTTTAGGGTTTAGGGTTTAGGGTCTAGGGTTTAGGGATTAGGGTCTAGCGTTTATGGTTTAGGGTTCAGGGTTTAGGGTTTAGGGTTTCGAGTTTAGGGCTCAGGATTTAGAGTTTAGGGTTTAGGGTTTAGGGTTTTGGGCTTAGGATTTAGGGTTTAGGGTTTAGGGCTTGGGGTTTAGGGTTTAGGCTTTAGGGCTTGGGGGGGTGCTATTCTGCAGGGCGACGAGTTACAGTCGATTAAGCTATGCAAGCATTCCGCAGGCTTGAGGGCCTCGCCGGCTTGGGATCTGTGGTCACCCTGCATGCATGCTAAAGGGGGCTTAGGGGACTTCGGTAGAAATACTTGCATCATTTCGGTACTTCTCTAAGTTATGGTCCCTTGTGGGGATATGATATGGCACGACATCCTTACAAAGAGAACCCCCCCAACACACCTCAATTTAGAAAACTACCCTTCCCCTGAACCCTAAACCCTAAACCCTACAAGAAACACCACAACTGTAAACAGACGAAGCGGCAGCGGTTTCAAGCCTTTCGGTTCGAAGAGTAATGTATAGGGGCTTTCCTTTTTAGAATAGGGTATTCGGCTCCTTTCTAGTATAATTACAATATAAGGGTTTAGGGTTTGGGGTTTAGGTATTAATTGCCTTAAGGAGCCCTAAGGAATAAAATGCTAGTAGCTGTTTGGGTTTTTTTATATTAAGTGTCTTTAGCGTCGAGGTCTCAAAGAACCTTCCACCTTCCAAAGCGCAGCGTTCCTCGGAAGTCCCGGTGCTTAGACGTAGTTGCAGTATCAAAGGATGAGCGTCTATATAAGGCAAGGGTGTAGTGTTTGGGGTACTAGGGTTTAGAGTTTGGGGTACTAGGGTTTAGGGTCTAGGGTTTTGGGTACGAGGGTTGAGGGTCTAGGGTTTGGGGTACTAGGGTTTAGGGTCTAGGGTTTGGGGTACCAGGGTTGAGGGTTTAGGGTTTGGGGTATTAGGGTTTCGGGTTTGTTAATGCAATACCCCTTTCTCCGCACGGAAACGAACACGGGTTTAGGGATGGTACTAGGCTTTTGCTGGTCCGGGACCTAGACAGCCTGGAAGTGAAGCTGCCGGGGGTTCCACACTATGCCTTCAAGATGATGGGTGTTGGGTTTAAAGTTTAGGGCTTAGGGTTTAGGGTTTAGGATTTAGGGTTTAGGGTTTCGGGTAATTAGCCCTTTCCCTGTCAGAAAGAAGGTTCCCGAAGCCTCCATGAACCACCGTAAAAATCTTGGAGACCCTGATGATCCCCTCATGGAACCCAGAAACTAAACCCGAGTGAACCCCAAGACACCGCAGTGGAGCCTTCCATGAACACCTTTAAGACCTTACGTGACCCACCCTAAACCCTAAACCCTAAACCCTAAACCCTAAACCCTAGCGGAGCCTCAAAGAACTGAACTCTGAAAGTCAGCCCAGACACACGTCTTCTATGTGGGTAGTTGTCAAAATTAGGGTTTAGGGTTTAGGGTTTAGGGTTTAGGGTTTAGGGTTTAGGGTTTAGGGTTTAGGGTTTAGGGTTTAGGGTTTAGCCTTTTGGGGTACCCTAAATAATAGGTGCCGTATTATAAAAAGGACCCAAAAAGGGGACCATCATTTTGACAACCACGCATGTCTCAAAATGCATCCTTAAACCCTAAACCCCAAGCTCCAAACCCTACCCTAAACCCTACCCTCAGGGTACGTTCTTAAACTTTAAAACTTCTAGATCCTGCTGAAAGAGCCCTGAAAGGAACCCTGAACCTCAACCGGACCTTTGTAAAGACAGAGAAGCCCTAAGCTCTCACCCCAAACACCCCAAGCCCTTAACCTCAAACCCTACACTTCGGGTACTGCCTGTAACCCTAAACCCAAAACCCTAAACCCGAAACCCAAAACCCTAAACCCCAAAACCCTAAACCCAACATCCTAAACAACGAAGCACTAAGCCGCTGGTGGAGCCTCTGGGTTCTTGATCTGCTCGTCCGTCAGAGGGATCTCTAAGACATCTCGGAAGCTCATCATCTCAGCAACAAAGGCGGTGGTGAAAGCGTCTTAGGGTTTAGGTTTTAGGGTTTAGGGGTTTAGGGGTTTAGGGGTTTAGGGGGTTAGGGGTTTAGGGGTTTAGGGTTTAGGGTTTAGGGTTTAGGGTTTCAAAGGCGGTGGTGAAAGCATCTTCGGGTTTAGGGCCTTGAGGGCGTCGATTTCGGATGCCATGAGTGAAAAAAGGTCTTATCAGGGTTTTGTAGAGTCTTTATAGGAGTTCCTTGCCGGCTCTAATTCAGGAGCTGAACCTGAGCTTTACCCTGTCGGGAGATGTGGTGAATAAGAGGGTTCCCATGTTGTCAAGGTTAGGTTCCCAGACCTCTGGGTGGATCGAAACGGTTTAGGGGTTTAGGGTTTAGGGTTTAGGGTTTAGGGTTTAGGGTTTACCCAGTTTGGCAGAAACCCGCCTTTAGTAAGCTGAACGGCAAACTGGCACTGTATAGGGCACTTCCACCTACCAGGGATCACAAGTTATTCTGGCCGCTAAACACGGGATCCTTAACAACGAGAGTATGGGGTATTTCAAAGTATTTATAAGGAGCCTCAGGAATGGCATTAGCAACGATGCTGGTGTATTATGTGACATGGGTAGTTCTCTAAATTAGGGTCCCCTTTTAGGTCCCCAAAATAGTACGTCAATTATAAATAGGAACCTAAACGGGACCCTAATTTAGAAAACTACCCACACAGTCTTTGGGGCTAGAGTTTACGCTGGCCCCGCCGATGCTTTCGGCTTCTCTTCGACTGGCGAAGTCCGGACAATGAACTGCTGATGTTCCCTAGGCCCTCCCAGGAACCCCAATGGCCCCTTAATAGAGCCCTTATGGTCCTTAATGTCGGGGCTATAATAGAGGGTAGTTGGGCGGTCTAGGTAAGGTTTAGTGTTTAGGGTTTTGGGTTTAGGGTTCGGGTTTAGGGTGTAGGGTTTATAGGTCCCACGAGATTGCGACACACAGTTTAGGGTCAAGGGCTTTGGGATGGGACCATAGCTGCTCTAACTACTGAGCGGTGTTAACCCTAAACCCTAAACCCTATAAACCCTAAACCCTGTGTGTCAATGGTTCTGCGCAAAACGATGCAAAAGCCGAAACACCGCAAACCCGAAAGCCATACAAACAAAAAGACACCCAAAGAATGCCCGCAAAAAAGTAGCCCGAAGCCCCCAAACAGATGAAATCTTGGGACCTTGACATCCTAGAGAGCGAACATCTGATAGTTAATGCAGGGCCTTAATAATTAGAATAGGGTTTTGGTGTATATATTATACTGTAAATATAATAAGGAGCCACCAAAATAAGATAGAAGAAAACTTAAGGCCCCTATATAAAACCCTAAACCCTAAACCGTACACTCCTAAATAACGAAAGGAGCACAGGAGCCTCCTCCACCTTCAGACTCTTCTGTTGGTGGACCTGGCCGTGGCGTGGGACGTTTAGGGCCTGGGATTTGGGGTAAGGGGTTTGGTTTAGGGTTTAGGG